GCAAGTACCTCGGTTGCTCCTCCCTGGCCTGGCCCTCGTCGGACCATGTGCAGGAGGCAACCAATCGACGTGTTTCTCTCACATGGATATGTCTCTCTCTGTCTTTACCTCTCTCTTCCACCTCCTCAAAAACTCGTCAAGGGCAAGTACCTCGGTTGCTCCTCCCTGGCCTGGCCCTCGTCGGACCATGTGCAGGAGGCAACCAATCGACGTGTTTCTCTCACATGGATATGTCTCTCTCTGTCTTTCCCTCTCTCTTCCACTCTCTAAAAATCAACGGAAAAAGATCCTCGGGTGAGGATTAAAAACAACAACAACCACAAACAAATCTCGGCCTGCCACTTCCCAGCCATGGGACCTGGGACACCTGGCCTCGCCTCTCTGGGCCTCAGTTTCCCCAGCCATAAGAGCGCCCACGTGCTGGGTATGTCACGAGGGTTAAATGAATCCATGGACGACCAGCACTTCATACAAGACCTGCCACTTCAGGAGCTTTCCACGACTGCCACCCCCTCTCGTCTTCGTCATTACTTTTACTGAGCACTGTGCGTGCTTGGTCCATTTGACGGAAGACAAAAACTGAGGCCCAGAGAGATTGAGAGAGGGGTTCAAGGCCATACAGTGAAGTGTGGTCTTTGTTGGACTTAGCTATTGATTTTAGGGCCTGATGTCTATAGCAGGTTCTATTGATCCCAGACCCTGGAACAATGGGCCCCAAGCCTGTGGTCACCACAGTACATTCACACAAATCCAGGAGCCTCCCGACCACACTTGTGCTTAGGACTCCAGGGGCCTATGGGACCCGCTTCCTTTCCCTCTACCAATCCTTGCCACCCCCACCCCAGATGCCCAAGGAGGCATCTGATTCATGGGAGGGCTGGGCAAGCTTCTGGGAAGGACGTGGGTTTTGAAGGTTGAGTAGGAGTTCGCCAGGTGCAGACTCAAGATGAGAGAGGGCTTTCAGTGAGACTGATTGAGTGTAGATTGTTGGCATGGTCCCTGCCCTCATGATGTCCATATTCTGGGGGGAGTGGGGGCAGAGACAGAAACACTGGCTGGAAAAAGAAAAAAAAGAAACACTGGCTGAACAGATAATATACAGTAGTAACTAACTTGAGAGATTGCAGTGTGTTTGGGGGCTGCCTTTGGATTGGGTGGTCAGGGGCCTGAGAGAGGAGCCAGACAAGAGAAATCCAGGGAACAGCCTTCCTAGGTAGAGGGGCACACAGAGGCCCTCCCTAGAACAGGAATGTGTTCAAGGAACAGTGAGGAGGCCAGGAAGCCAGCGGAGGTGGAGGAAGGAGAGGTTGGTGGGCAGGGGTCTGCTTACACAGAGCCCAGGGATTGTCCAAAAGGATTCTGGGGCATCAGGGAGCCACTGATGCTGCTGAGCCGGGCAGGGACACCTGGCTGTCACGGCTAGGGGTGGGGTCACGGCTGAGTCAGACCTTCCCAGGCTCCTACCCCCATGGGTAGGGCCGTGGTTAATGGGAGGGGGACATGGGCACCACTAACCCCTCTGTTCTTTCTTACAGACCCCAGTGGGCACACCCAAAGGTATGCTTCTGGAAGGGACTGGCTGGGCCTCAGCGCACTCGGTGCCCCGAGTGGGGATGGTGTTCATGGGGAGAGTGCCTTGTTGCTAATAGTAACAATAATGGCAACAGGACTGTTATTGTTACTATTCCCAAGGAGCCCGACTTGGAGTCCAGCCCCAGGCCCTCATCATCATTGCATTTAGTTTTCACAACATCCCTGGGGTGGGGTTGCTGCAGTACTCGCCACACGCACCCCGTCATAGACGAGGAAACCAAGGCCTTGCATGGGTGTGACTGGGTGAGGAGTTGAGGCTCTGGATCCGTTCTGTCCACTTGAGGGTGCCTGGACTTGACTGACCCTCTCTGTCCACTTGCTCTGAGCTCCAGGGCAGGTGGTGTGTGTGTGGGGGCCGGAGGGCGTGCCTTGGTTTTCACATCTATAAAACAGGGTCTTTGGGGATGAGAGTTCAGAGGGGCTGGTGGGGAGAACAAGGTCCCCACTGCCCGGAGATCAGGCACCATTTAAAAGAATAAGAGTCCAGGAAACAGATTAAAAAAAAAAAAAAAAAAACACAACAAAAATTTAAATTTGAACTCTGGGACCCATTTTATTCCCCCCCAAATTATTATAGGTATAATATACACATTTGCAACTATTTCGCATGTATATAGGACATTTAAATGTATATGCTTAGGTATAAATATAATCGTTAATTAAATATATTCATTATATTGAAATTATTTAATATAAATTATATTTTTAAAATATACCTTAAACTTGTCTCCTTTCCAGTGGGGAGTATGGAGGGAGAGTCACCAGCTAGAAATGAAGGTGGTGGCCAGAGTGTCTTGGCCTGATTTCTTTTGTATTAATTATTCATAAGGAGAGTCTCCTTGTCTTACTGGGGAATTAAAAATTTATAATTGAAAAAAATCTACGCAGGCTTCTCAGGGATTTTGTGAAAATCACTTGGGCCGAGAGACAGGAAATGGACTGTGGGCCGATGTGTGTTCTGTGAGGGGAGGGGTTCCATGTGTGTCTGGGAGATGGGGGCGTGCGCATGCTAGGGGAGGGGCCACGTGTCTGGGCCAGTGTGCCTAGGAGGTGTCCATGTGATGGGGGATGTCTAGATGTCTGGGTGGTTGTCCTGGTGTCTGGGGATTCTGTCTCATCATCTCTCCTCTGACCCTCATCTCTCTCTTCACTCTGCTCCCGAAGCAGCGAAGCCAGCCTCCAACACCCCCGTGAGGACGGTGGAAGGCTCCCCCATGATGAAGGCAGGTAGGTCAGCCCCCAGTCTCGGCCCCCCATGTCCAGCTGCTGTCCTGGGCCGAGTGTCGGTCCTGGGGAGCCTGTGGTAATGGGGGTGGTGGCCGGACCAAGGCTGTAGCTCCAAGCCCGGGGTAGGGCCTGGCGGATGCCTCTGCTTTGGCTCCTTGGTCACACGCCGGTCCAGCTTCCTCAAGAAGATGGGCCTCCTTGCATGGCTGCTCTAACCCATCACTTTCTCACAGCTTCCATCCCCTTAACCACACCACTCACTCCCGGAGCCCGAGGGGGTGGCGCACATGTTCAAACACACACGCACACTGTAAACCCTCCTCCTCTACACTCGGGCTGCCTCAGGAGGGGGCGTGAGTGCCCTGTCCCTGGCAGTGACCAAGCTGGGCCTCAGGCATTCCTTCTAGGAAGCAGGAAGAGACAGGGTTAGTGCTAAGCATTCTATGAGGTCAGGTTCAAATCCCTGCTCTGCCCCCAATACCTGGCACCTGAGTCTCCAGCTGTGGGAGGGGTGGAATTGCAGTGACCTCACACTGAGGGCCTCGCAGAGAGCCATAAAAGTCACAGAACCTTCCTGCTACTCCTGCTGTTATTGGGGCGAGGAGGGGGTGAAGACCTTCTTAGGGGCAGGGTGGCCGGGATGTGACAGCACTCAGGAGGCAAAGGCAGCAGAGAGGCCCAAGGTCTCCTGCAAGGTCCAGGTGGAGTTCTGCCCCGGCGGGCAGGAGGCAGGGGTACTATTTCCAGAGAAGAAGGGGGGCATCTTCAGGGCTCCTGTGCCAGTTAGACCACCCCCGAGGCCAGCACTTGTCCCCTCAGTTGGCAACCTCGTGCAGTGTACGTCCCGTCCAACTCTGTGCCTGCAGATGGGCGTGTTAGGCTGTGTAGGGACATGAGATTAAATAACATCGAGTCATTCTTTCAACAAGTGCTTATTGAGCCCCTGCTGAGTGACAGCCTGGGGGAGCTGGTATGCTGATGGGCCCACAGCCCATAAAATTAACCTACGGAGAAAACAAAGCAGACCCTGAGGAGTTGAAAGGGGGACAATTTTAATAAGAGGGTTCAGGAGAGGCCAAAGTTTAGGAGGTGACATTCGAGCAAGGACCCAAAAGAAGTGAGGGAGCAAGGCGTGCAGACATCGGGGCTAAATGAGGTCCAGGTGGAGGGCACTGCGCATGCAAAGGCTCTGAGACGGGTGTGCTGTGTTGTGGCAGTAGAATAAGTGAGGGAGAGGGACGAACTGAAGTCATGGTCGTGCAGGGTCCCCTAGGCGTGGGAACCAGGGAGGGCCTGGGCCGAGCAGGGATGTGCTCACTGGCGTCCTCTGGTGGCCGAGGGAAAACAAGCGGTGGGAGGCCAGGGCCAATCCTGACGCGGGTTCTCGCAGGTGCCCTCTAGTGGCTTTAGGGAGAACAGACCGTGGGGTGCAGACGGGATAAGAAGTGTACTGGGTTCAGGGTGTTCTGATGGACAGAGTAGAGGGTGAGAGAGGGAGAGGTGGGAGCTGCTCTTACTGGGGCAGCAAGACCCAGGAGGGGCAGATTGGGAGGGGCTTTTGGACGTGGTGATGTGGGGGTTCCCATGGTAGGGTAGAGGGAGGCAGTGTGATACTGGAATTTGGGGTGGGGTCCTTGGGGGTCAGTGCCAGGACTCAGTCTCCCCGTGTAGTGTTGTGGTAATGATTTCTACAGAACCTGGGTGAGAAGCTGGGCATGGAATAGTGGCCCTAAGGGGTAATGACAGTCACTTGTTTTGAGAGGAAATTATCCATTCTTCATAGAGGTAGATGAGGACAGACTCCATAGTCGACTAAAGAGAGGTGTGGACAGATAATGCGGGGGTCTGGCCTGTTAACCCAGGTTCCGATGGTAGCTCTGACCACGGGCAAGGCAGCCCTCCTCCTACACACTCTCTCTCGGAGCAAGTGGGATAGTTTAAGGCTTCCCACATGGGGTGGGTGGCGAGGAGGGGCCTCATGTGGAGCAGAGGAATACAGACCTGCGGCCAGGGCACTGGGGAGCCACAGAAGGATTTTGAGCTGGGGAGGTTTGCGCTTAAGGTGTCCCCGCTGCTTGGCTCTGTGCTGCCAGCTCCCCTCCCTGGCTTGGCTGCAGCCCAGCGGGGGGCACTGGGCGGTGGCCATGGCGTAACCCGTGCCTCTCGTGCTAGCCATGTACTCGGTTGAGATCACGGTGGAGAAGGACAAGGTGACCGGGGAGACCCGGGTGCTGTCCAGCACCACCTTGCTCCCTCGGGAGCCGCTCCTTCAGGGCGTCAAGGTCTACGAGGACGAGACCAAAGGTACGAGACCCCCACTCCCTGCCCCAAACCCCCTCTCACTGCCTGAGCCAGAGCCTGACCCCCATCTGACCTGACAGGGATGCCTTTCAGGGACAGGGCCTCAGCCCGCATCGTTGCTTAGAGCTTGAACCCGTGGCCCAGTCCTTCTTACATTCCAGGCACTTGCCTTGAAGGCTGGCTAAGCTGCAGGTGCCAGACCGGGCCGGGCAGCAAATCCCCAGTGGGACTCCCTGGTCAGTGAGCCACGCCCTTCTTCAACCCTGAGCTCACAAACAACTTGTTGAAATAATTACCGTTGTGATAGAGGCTACAAAAGTCCCAAAGATAGAGGGGGCCCCGAGCTGGTCAGGCAGGAGGGGGCCAGGGAAGGATCCTCAGGGGAGGTAAACAGGAGCTCATTGGATGACAGCACCTTGTAGGGGAACAGTGCACCTGGCAGAGGCCACAGCACGTGCAAAGGCCCTGAGGTGGGCTGGAGTTTGCTGGACTGGAGGAACTGAGAAGAGCCTGTGGACTGATACAGAGTGGAGGGAGGAAACTAGAGAACTTGGGGAGGGGTGAGCAGGCAATGAGATCTGATTTGTTTTCTAGGGTCCCCCTGGTGACTGGGAGGGGAACAGGCTGTGGGAGACACCCAACTAGGAAGACTAGAATACGGAGGAGCAGGGGAGCTGGGGCAAAAGGCCTAAGTCTGTGTGTGTGTGTGTGTATGTGTGTGAATATAATTCATATACCATCAAATTCACTCTTATTTAAATAAGAAACATGTTTGTTTAAACTGTATACTCCATCAGTATTTCCAGAGCAGTTTCTTTTTTTTTTTTAAGTATATTTTATTGACTTCAGAGAGAGGAAGAGAGGAGAGAGAGAGAGAGAGAATCATTGATCAGCTGCCTCTTGCACACCCCCTTCTGGGGATTGATCCCTGCACCCCAGGCATGTGCCCTTACTGGGAATT